TAACACTTGTCATTCACACTGCTTAGGAAAAGATGATCCAAGACTTTTAGAAGCACTAATTAAAATTAACGAAACTTTCTCACCGGGACTTGTCAGAGAGGTATATTTTGTCAGTGGAAAACCAAATCGCCTCAAAGATTAAAGAGTTTTCACTGTAAGGTCTAAATCCAACCCACTTACCACTAGGCACTAACGAACTAAGCCCCAACGCTCAGCAAGCAACTCATTACAGTAACACTTCCAATCCTTTCCATATAACACAAAATTCAGAAAAGGACTTCATTGGGAAGGCGGAGAGAATTTTCTCTCATAAACCAGAAGAGGAAGGAACAAGGAAAAGTATCTCTCCTCTTTACTATCTATGGAGCAAAGAAAGGTGCAAGCTCCCACTAGCAATTGTTTGATAAGCCCTTAGGGCTTATCACTTCACCAACCTTATCTTTAACTCAACGAGCACGAAGCCACTCAAAACAAGAACAACATTCAATGATTCTACCCACCTCTCGCCCCAAAGAAACCCGGAAGACCCTCACCCAGGACTCAGGTGGCCCTTTCTCACCTGGGCCCCGCATAAGTCGGCAGTCCCTACGTGAAGCTCACGTTTCAGCAATATGCCATGCGATTGGTTGACTCAGGAGGAACTTCTCAGTCCTATTGGCTACGAGAGCCGCGGTGGGGTGAGGAGGCGGGAGTTTGGGGCTGGCCCCGACAGGCTGGCTGTTCGAGTTCCCAGAGTTCCTATTGGGTCAACACGGGAGGCTCCAAGATGGCGGCAGCGGCAACCTGCGGCACTGGCGCGGGGAGTACTGCTTCTATGGCATCGGAAGCCAGCAAGAGCAACGTCACCAGTTTCCAGAGGAGGGGTCCTAGAGCCAGCGGGACCGACAGCGGCGGCACTCGACTGGTTTCCATTGCGGGCACGCGACCGTCGGTGCGGAATGGACAGCTGCTGGTATCAACCGGGCTTCCAGCCCTGGACCAGCTCTTAGGTCGGTTCGGAACGGAAAACTGGGCTCAACCGAGGGAAGACTTAGGGAGGGGACCTGTCGGGGAGCCACTGTAACCCCACTTCTCTCTCTGACCCCTCAGCTGTAGTATGTGGAGAGTATAGACTAGTCTGATAGAGGAGGAGGGGTTGTATAGAACCCCTAAGTGCTCTTAACTAAACATGCTTTAATGCCCCCACTTTCTATTCTCGTTCCCTGTGCCCACCAGCCCCTTCTAGATTGCTGAGTGGTCCATACATGCTTTTTACCCTGAAATGTTTCCTAGTCAAGAGAAAGCATTAATATATGGAGACGGTTTGACTCTCATTTAGGATAACCTCCTGGTCCCTGAGTACACCCTTCTGCCAAGCCCAGGTAGCTCACGGTTTGAACTAACGTACAAAAGTTTTTATTATTGTGAGAGAGAGACAGGCTTCGTTAGAAAATGTTGAAAAAAAGTGATTTCCCCTCTCTCACCTCCAAACTGCTTATCTCCTGGTTCTAAATCTTAAACCTTATTGCCTTTAAGAATGGGGATGTTAAAGGTTCATGTTGACTCAGAGTAGTTAGAACCCGTCGTTGATTTTTAGATAATCATACCCATATCTGCATTAAATCTGTGTGTATATCTTTTTGTTAATTTTTTATATATGCATTTTACTTCCCAGAGTTGATTGCTGCTACATTCCAAACGACATCTTTAAATTTAATTCACATGTTAACAAGAACAAGAAATCTAGTTCTTAGGCTTTCTCTCTGAGAAGCCTGCTGAAGAATATGCTTGTTTTATGACTGTTAAATTGAGAAGATTGACTAAATTGGTGGGACAGATCTACTGTGTTAATAAAGCTTGTAGATTAATTAATTTCTATTTGAATGCTGCTTCATTAAAACAGTCTATGTTTTATAACTTTTTTCGTAGGGTGTGATGTATACATCTGTTAAGTCTTGTACACTTTCATAAAATATTGCAACTGCCATTTCTTGTTCTTGTACTTCACTTGAAATTTTCTCTCTTATTTTCTCCCCCGAGTAGACTTTTCAAACAGGTTTACTGCAGAGTAAAGTAACAAGGCAAGCAACCTATGAGAAAGAGTATGGCTTCTTATTAATAATTCTGTTATTTCTTAACTGGATCCTGACTATATGCTTAAGTGTTTTCACTTAATTGTTTTGCATCTGTTGTCCTCTTGAGTTGCATGGTAGTATAAACAGAAATGATTCAAAATATCTATTTAGCAACTATTTATTTCACCATTTATCCCTTGTGAGCCTCACTTGGTGTCCCCCTATTTGAACTTAAAGCTTGGAAGCCATTCCTAGTTCTTATATATCTATGTTTTTAATTCAGTGGGAATATATAACTTCATTCACTTAATATTAAAACTCCCCGAACAAAAAGGTTACATTTCTGGCATTATGTCTTCAGTTCCTCATTAGAATAACAGAACGTGCCTAGCACAGTTCCTGGCACTTAGTAGGTTCTCAATAAATTCTTGATTAAAGGAAAAGTAATGTATAAAAAAAA